GCGCGCTCGGAGGGCCAGCGCCTGCCTTTGCCATTGCAGGGCCCTCGCCCGGAAGGGACTGCGGGGCCAGGGCTCGCTCCTCGCCCTGCTGAGGGCGGTTCATCACTGGGTCCCGGGCTCCTGAGCTCCGTGAGGGGAGCCCCCCACCCCCCGGGAGGGCACTGTTCTCGGGGTCCGTACCTACAGGTATGGCAGGGTAGGTGCCAGAGACGTGGGCAGAAACTGGGTTATAGGTGATTGGATGCTAAGTCACGTGTACAGTTCAATTTTCTCTTTTCTTTCAAACCCTTTTAGGAGCCGGTTCCAATTGGACCGAGCGCCCCCCGCCTCTCTTCAGGAAAGTCGTTATTATGCTGATCGATGCCTTGAGAGATGATTTTGTGTTTGGGTCAAAAGGTGTGAAATTTATGCCCTACACCACTTCCCTTGTGGAAAAAGGTGCAGCTCACAGTTTTGTGGCTGAAGCAAAGCCGCCTACAGTTACCATGCCTCGAATCAAGGTAAACGGTTTAACATCGTGTTTTATAAATCACTAGACGCCAGATGCACGAAATTCATGCAAGGCGCCCAGCCCTCGCAGCCCCTCGCAGCCCCTCGCAGCCCCGGCTTTGTCCGGGAGGATGTCCAGATGGTTGTTCTGCTCTTCGGTGTAATTAGCACATTAGCTCTTTAGTACATAGGATGGTTTGGCTCTACGAGGTTTAGAGGGCTCTCTGTAGTCTGTTACTTGTCCACATTTGAAATGCATTTGGTGCCGTCAGCCTGGCCGGGGCAGCAGACGGAGGAAGAAGCCTGACAGATAAGGTAGAACCGAGACCACAATTTGCACCCCTTTTCTAGTAGCCAGAGTTCATGCTTCCTGGGCGGCATAAAGGATTGGAAGCCAGATATTCCAGGCCAGCCGAGTCTCAGGGACGCCATCCTCCTTGCTACCCTGTTATTTTCTCTAATTGCCATTAGGTCAGTTATAACCCTGGAAAGGCTTAAGGGTTATCTCGTTCAGTCTCTCGACTTTACCGATGAGAAGGGAAACTCAGGCTTGCCCCGCACGGAAGCGGACAGGGACGGACCCCACAGGGTCTGGCCTCCCAGTTCTCGCTGTGTCTGCTGTGTAACCTGCCTGCAGGTGCTCGGCCTAGTGAGTGTGGCTTTCAAGTGCCTAGTGCTTCACCCAGGAACTATGGGTAAAGAAAAGACTAAAGCTTTATTAGGGACCACTTCCGAAGGAGGGAACAGGCTTGAAGTACCCAAGTCACGCAACTGGATTGCGGACTGGAGCACAAGGCTGCCTGGCTCCAAAGCCTGGGTGTCACGAGGCAGCACACGGCAGCACTGCCGAGCAGGGTGACTAAGACAGGTCCTTCTCAGAAGGCAAGAAACCACCCTTCCCAAGGCCATGGCAGCCACGGGAACCTCCAAGGACATGACAGACTGAGTTCTCCCTTAACCCAACTGCAACTCGGTCGCTCCCTGCATGCTCCCTGGGGTGACAGCCCAGAGGGTAAGAAGAGTTCCACAGGGCAAGAAACTCCAGTGTCCGTTAAACTTGTGAAAAGATTCTTTTTACTTTACTAGTAATCATAGCAACGCAAATTAAAACCATCTGCAAGCCAGATTTTGTCTGTCACCTTGTAAAAATTTAAAGATTGATGATAACCTACTCTTCACGAGAAAGGAGGTGAACAGGCATCTTAATTCTGAGACTATAGCTGGACTGAGCCACCTCCCTCCTCCAGTACAGTGTGGTCTCCGGCTCTTGACTTGGTGCCCCCCACTGTGCCTACTCACCCAGGCTTCATGGCGGTCATGCCCGTTCACCTCCCGCTCGTCCGAGCTACTTTCCTCTTTCATGATCACACATAGCTTGGCTCCCATGCACACTGCCCTCTGGCCTCAAGCCTTTGCAGTTACTGTGTCTCCCTAGGAAGGCCCCAACTCATCTCACCTAGACAACACTTCAGTCTCAGGTCTCAGCTCAAATGGTACTTCCATTGGAAGCTTTTTAAAGAAAGTATCCATTAAAATGGTCTTGGTTAAATATATTGTGCATTCAAATATTGGATGTAAATATATTGTACATTCAAATACTAAAAACATAGCCCCGGCTGGTGTGGCTCAGTAGATAGTGCCAACCCTCGCACTGAAGGGCCGTGGGTTCGATTCCCGTCAAAGGCACATACTGGGTTGCAAGTTCCATCCCCGGCCCGGTCGGGCATGTGCAAGAGGCAACCAATCGATGTGTCCCTCTCACGTGTTTCTCCACCCCCCTTTTCCCGTCTTTTTTTAAAAAAAGGAAAAAATATCCTCGGGTAAGGGTTAACAAATATTTGTGTGTGTGTGTGTGTGTGTATGGATATATATATACACACACACATAAATTTATATGTAGTTTTTATAGCTGTTAAAAAAAAGATGAAGTAGCTATTTGTTTTCTGGGGAAAGGAATCGGTGGTCTGTTATTAATTGGAAAACAAAACCAAGTTGTAACATTATTTACATAGTTTGTTACCATTTTGGTGAAAATGTATCTTTGTATATTTTTGGTTGTACACCTACAGAAGAAAGTATGAAAGGGTGCTTACCAAAAATAATCAGTTATCTTTAGGAAGTAGAATTTGGGGGTAAGAGAGAGGCTCACATTTTGAGAAATAACTTTAGCCCTAGCTGGTTTGGCTCGGTGGATAGAGCGTCAGCCTGCAGACTGAAAGGTCCCAGGTTCGATTCCAGTCAAGGGCACGTGCCCGGGTTGCAGGCTCGATCCCCAGTGGGGGGTGTCCAGGAGGCAGCCAATCAGTGATTCTCTCTCATCATTGATGTTTCTATCTCTCTCTTCCTCTCTGAAATCAATAAAAATATATTTTAAAAAAAAGAAAAAGAAATAACTCTAGCCCTGGCCAGTGTGGCTTGGTTGGGTGTCCTTCCTCTGCACCGGAGGGTCGCTGGTTCAATTCCTGGTCAGGACACACGTCCTGGTTGTGGGCTCCGGCTGAATGTCTCACTCTTACCTGTATTGCATCGAGCTTATGGAAGTCCATTACTCCTGTCTTCATCTCTCTAGAAATCAATAAAAAAACCTTAAATACCTTTATGGAGATAGGATTTTTGTCCAATCCAGCACATGCATTTGTATGTGTATGGTTGGACGAGACATAACGGGTGTATATCCATGCCCCCCTCCCCCACTCGAGATCGACCCTCACCCAGGAGTGGTGGCTGCCGTCGCTGTTATTTTGTGTGTGTGGCGTGACCTGCCTGAACGAGGCCTGGAGAGTGTCTCCCTGAGTGCAGGGCAGCTGATGTCTCTGAGGTCGTTTTTCCAATTCTTGTTTTTAGTTTTAGGCTAGTATTTCCAGGGGCCACTCGGGGTCAGCACAGGCTAGCAATTGCTCAGAAGTTGTGCATAGAGACCTAGTGTGGTGAGGCTACCACCCTTCGCGGGGTCATGTGTGGACGGGCCACGTGCTCACTGGTCAGGGACAGACGCGTCCGCCCTGACTCTCACTTTCTCTGTGAGGAGGCCTTCTGTCCAGCCAGCAGGAGCTAGGAAGTCAGCCCTCCCTCCCGGGTCTCCTGAGGGTCCACGCAGCCTTCCAGGTGCCAGAAAGAGGTGGAGCTGACGGGGGCCACTACACCTGTCTCATTCCTCCAATCCCCTTTTAAAGTTTGGGCTGGTCTCTTACCACAACCAGCACGGCGCCTCGGGCAGCTGTTGATGTGGCCTTGCCATGGATGCCATACCCTTGCGTGGCACTGTCCCCTGGAGCCAGCTCCAAGTCGAGGGCCCTCTGTCCTCTGCGCCTGCAGCACAGCCAGGGCGCAGCCCCGTGAAAGCACTGTGGGCGCGCACAGAGCTGACTGATTCTGCCGTTGGCCTGAGTAAGAACTTCTCAGTGGATTGTCTGTCCTTGGTGAGTTTTCAGAGTCCCCAAAGGGTGGTTTTGACAGTTTTATCCAGTGTCATCTTGCTCTTGGGGGAGAAGATTGGGCGAGCTCGCGTGCGTTCCAGACGCCCAGTCAACGCACATGTCCGTTTGCTGTTGGAGAAGTCTTGGCAGTTGCCCCTTGGGTGTGACCCGATTCCTGTTGATTGGCATTGCACAGGCCGGGACACTTGTGCTGTGGGTTGTTGGGAGATACAGACCACAGAGACCACGCCCCATCCATGTGGCCTCTTGGACTCCGGGCTAAAATGAGGGAGGTCACAGGAAGGTGTGAAAATGTCACACCCCCTCCCTCTCCCAGAAACTGGGGCCATGTGGTGGGGGCGGGGAGGGGTCCCCACCAGCACACCTGGGCCAGCTCTCGGGGAACCCTGAGAGGTGTGTGGGAGCTGCTCCTGCACTCGGGAGTGGACAGTAGAGTCTCTGGTTTGTGAATCGGGACGTGGAGTTTGCAGACTTGAAGCTCAGGTGAGAGCCTGGCCGTGGGTGTGAACACAGGCTTGCGTGCACACCACCTTTTGTCGCTTGTTTTGGTTCTTCTCCTCTGGCTCCCTCGGCGCCTCCTTTATCCTCTCCTTGTCTGAAATGGGGTCAGGTGTTCACGGTGAAGCGTTCTGGTTTTGCCAGAATCTGCGGGTAGCTTTCCCCATTTGTCGTAGGACTGACCCACCCTCCGGTACTGGGGATGCCCTACTTTTATGCTTGTGTCTTTCCTCTGTGTAGTGGCCAGCACCCCTCCCCCTGCTGCACTTTGGACCCCAAAGTCTAATCCGAGAGTGTTCCCTCCTGCAGGCATTGATGACGGGGAGCCTCCCCGGCTTCGTGGATGTCGTCAGAAACCTCAACTCCCCCGCACTGCTGGAGGACAATGTCGTCACACAGGCAAAAGCCGCTGGGAAAAGAATCATCTTCTATGGAGACGAAACATGGGTGAAGTTATTCCCAAAGCACTTTGTGGAATATGATGGAACAACCTCATTTTTTGTGTCAGATTATACAGAGGTCAGTGTTTAAAATAAGAAACATAGATCCTACCAGGTGGAGAGGCAGCGTTCGTTGTAGTGGTGTTTGTTGCTCTATCGGGAGGGTGTGGAGACAGTACAGACGTGGCTCACTTGCACCGTGACAGCCAGGGGCGTGAGCCCTGGTGCAGGTGTGAGCACGGCTCTCTGGAGCCCACAGCCTGGAGGCTGAGCACCCATTGGCAAGTGTCAAGAATCCAGAAGGGCTGCCCAGCCAGGAGTCAGGTGAGCTGGGTGCACAGGTGAGCGGGGACGTCCCACAAGGATAGAGTGGTGGCAGCCTCTGTCTGAGGCCGAGCCCAAGGATGCCACACTGCCTGGGGCTCCGAGGCCGTTGGTCCCTCTGCACATGGGTCAGTGTCGAGTGGGAGGCACAGGGTCGAGGGCAGGCTGGGTGGGTGGTCTTGAGGGGCTCAGCTGGGAGTGCCGCTGCGCCAAGGGGGGAGTGATGAGAGCCCTTGTTGAAAAGCTGAGCCTGGGTGCAGAGGGAGACCCTCAGGGCAGTGGCACCGCATGTCTGGACTTGGCATTAGGGCGGACAGCATTGCACCCCCTCACCTGGCCGTTGGCTAACACAGATGCCCTCTGCTGCAGTGGCCTGTGCAGCATAGCAGTGCTGGCCAGCGGCAGCTGGGCCTCCCCGTCCTGTGTACAGGCTTTTCAGTGGGAGGGAGGTGGCCAGCAGAGGGGTCGGGGCTGACCAGGCTAAATGGCTCTGTTGGGGGCTGTGGACAGCTGGTCACAGAGTGCTGTCTCCTCCCTCCCAGGACAGCTCTCATGCTGGTCACTGGAACCCTGGGCACTGTCCTGTGCTCACTGCCCTCCCCGGTGTAACTGGGTCCTGGGTCCTTGCTCAGTGCAGCCCTCGCCGTGCCCACAGAGACGTTCTTGCAGCAGACCTTGCTCGGTCCATCTGTATAACACAGTCTGTCTGCAGCCTCGGGGTGCGAAACGATGTCAGTGAAAGTTTCATCTCATCTGATGTTTAGTTCTTTATGGCAGTTTTAATTTTTTTTCTTGGTCTTTTCAAACTCCCACTGGTCCTGTCCCCTACAGTGAACCCTGTGGTGTATAACGACACATCACTTCCTTGGGCAGTGACGACCTAGCTCTTCATTTGCACTTTCCCCTTAAGGTGGACAATAACGTGACGAGGCACTTGGATAAAGTGTTGAAAAGGGGGGACTGGGACGTGCTGATCCTCCATTACCTGGGGCTGGACCACATCGGCCACATTTCCGGGCCCAGCAGTCCCCTGATTGGGCGCAAGCTCAGCGAGATGGACAGCATCCTGATGAGAATCCACACCTCGCTGCTGTCAGAGGTGAGCTGCGCTTCGGTGGGTCTTGGTGCCAGGAGGTGCTTGTGCCCACAGTCCCCAGAAAAACTAGCCGGCACGTGAGCTCAGGTGAGCTGAGTGAATGTCACACCCCCCGCCCTCGGCAGCCTCAGCCGGCACAGGTGCCACCGCGATGCTCACCTGCCTGGTCCCGCCTCCAGTGGCTGTGTCTCCACCATCACCATCCCTCCCGCTCCTGCTTCCTGAGTGCCTTCGGGACGCTGAGCCTGTCTGGGTGTCTGCGGGGTGTGGGCTCCAGCCAGGAGGGCAGACAAGCAGCACAGTGAGTGCATCAGGGTTCTTTTTAAAATATATTCTTATTGATGTCAGAGGGAGAGAGAGAGAGAAACATCCGTGATGAGAGAGAATCATGGATCGGCTGCCTCCTGCACACCCCCCCCACACCACCCCCCACCCACTGGGGATCGAGCCTGCATCCTGGGCATGTGCCCTAATCGGGAATTGAATCGTGACCTCCTGGTTCATAGGGTGACACCCAACCACTGAGCCAGGCCGGCCGGGCTGCATGAGTGTTCTTGAAGGTGACGTGCCACAGGACAGTGGGGGCAGGAGGAGGGAACCGCATCTGAGGGGCTGTGGTTTTCAGCAGCCTGGGCAGAGTAGTCACAGGAGATGTGAGCAGAGGCTGGACAGGAGGGGCCGATGTGCCAGGCCGAGAGCAAGGGTGAGGTGGAGCCTGCGGGCACATCCTGGGCAGCAGAGGGCATGGCTGGAGCCCCAGGGCGGCAGGAAGGTGGCTGCATTTGACAGATGGAGACACCGGGGCACGCAGAGCAATGTGCCTGCACTCTCACAGCTCAGAAGTGGCAAAGAGGTCCGGGCCCGAATCCTCTGCCCTGAGAGGCCCTCTGTCCAGTCCCACTGTGCGGTGTGACCTCCATGTGATTCTGCTTGTTCCATACATGACGTTATTTGACCTTGACCCTTTGATCTGACTGTAAGCTCATAGGTAAAAGGAAAAACCCACTAATTTAGAAAGCACTGTTCATGCAGCTAGAACCCGACGTGGGTTCCTAGCGAGTACGTGTTCCCGGTGTCAGTGCCGCTGAAACGGCCCCTTTGCCTTACAGGAGAGGGAGGCCCTCTCGCCCAGCCTGCTGGTTCTCTGTGGCGACCACGGCATGTCCGAGAGTGGGGGGCACGGGGCCTCCTCCCTGGAGGAAGTGAACACCGCGCTGCTCCTCACCAGCTCTGCATTCGAGAGGAAGCCCGGTGAGGACGCAGGCATGGCTAACATGCTGAAACTATTTTACTGCTGTGTTCTATCACCCGATATTAATTGTAAAACTATTTTTGGAAGCTAAGTTTGAAATACCCTGAGCAATGGCAGAATGAAAATTAACAGGGCAAGGGGCAGTCAGGATTAGGAGTTTAGATTTCCTGCCCTGATTATTACAAGTATCTTTGTGGGAACTGGGTTGTATGAATGCCACTGCCTGGATGCCCGGGACTGTTAGTAAGAATGTCCTGTAGCTTAGCGACTTCGGAGGCACATACAGGAGCTGAGAAACATCAGTACTTACGTTCCCTTCAAAGTGCCCTCTGTTCGAAACCAGAGGTTGAATAGCCGTGTCAATAGGAGTCACCCGACCAGTGAGGACTCATCTGTCATCACTGACACCCAGTTCTGCACCCAAACACACGGGCCCCTCTGACCCACCCCCCTGCCTCAGGCATGGCCGTCTCCGCCACCCTCCCCGTGGGCCTGCCTTTGCCCCTGGCTTCACTTGCTGTTGTTTCTGTGGACTCTGTGGCTTCCTCTCACAGTTCCTTGCCATCACCCAGCACTGTTGGAGCCAGCCTTCCAGTGAGCGGGTACAGTGCCCACCAGGGCACCAGCCTCTGCACCCCGCCACCCTCACTCGACCACAGCACAGCCTCTGCGCCCCACTACCCCTCACTCGACCACAGCACGGCCTCTGCGCCCCACTACCCCTCACTCGACCACAGCACGGCCTCTGCGCCCCACTACCCCTCACTCGACCACAGCACGGCCTCTGCGCCCCACTACCCCTCACTCGACCACAGCACGGCCTCTGCGCCCCACTACCCCTCACTCGACCACAGCACGGCCTCTGCGCCCCACTACCCCTCACTCGACCACAGCACGGCCTCTGCGCCCCACTACCCCTCACTCGACCACAGCACGGCCTCTGCGCCCCACTACCCCTCACTCGACCACAGCACGGCCTCTGCGCCCCACTACCCCTCACTCGACCACAGCACGGCCTCTGCGCCCCACTACCCCTCACTCGACCACAGCACGGCCTCTGCGCCCCACTACCCCTCACTCGACCACAGCACGGCCTCTGCGCCCCACTACCCCTCACTCGACCACAGCACGGCCTCTGCGCCCCACTACCCCTCACTCGACCACAGCACGGCCTCTGCGCCCCACTACCCCTCACTCGACCACAGCACGGCCTCTGCGCCCCACTACCCCTCACTCGACCACAGCACGGCCTCTGCGCCCCACTACCCCTCACTCGACCACAGCACGGCCTCTGCGCCCCACTACCCCTCACTCGACCACAGCACGGCCTCTGCGCCCCACTACCCCTCACTCGACCACAGCACGGCCTCTGCGCCCCACTACCCCTCACTCGACCACAGCACGGCCTCTGCGCCCCACTACCCCTCACTCGACCACAGCACGGCCTCTGCGCCCCACTACCCCTCACTCGACCACAGCACGGCCTCTGCGCCCCACTACCCCTCACTCGACCACAGCACGGCCTCTGCGCCCCACTACCCCTCACTCGACCACAGCACGGCCTCTGCGCCCCACTACCCCTCACTCGACCACAGCACGGCCTCTGCGCCCCACTACCCCTCACTCGACCACAGCACGGCCTCTGCGCCCCACTACCCCTCACTCGACCACAGCACAGCCTTTGCTGGTCCTGCCTAGTTGCTTGAGCTCCTGGGATGGAAATGGCACCACGTGAAAATGTCTCACAAACACGTGTTCACGGACGTTCACAGCAACATCATTCATGAGAGCCAAGAAGTGGGAACCCAAGCCCTGATGAGATGGCTGAACGTGGTGCGTCCACACAGCAGATACCACCGAGCAGCAGGAAGGAGTGAGGGTGGGCCGTGCAGCAGGGCTGTCTCGGGAGAAAAAGGACAGCTGCGGGGCTGGGAGGCCCGTGCGGGCAGATGGCCTGGAGGGCTGCGGGGCGTGTGTTTTACTTGTTGACTTTAAGAATAGTTATTTCCCGCAGACTTCATGTGTTTCTGTTGCTGTTAGATTTGCATCTTCCGGGGCTTCGAATACAAGGAGCCCTGGGCGGTGGTCTTGTGGACAGGGTCGAGGGCCCTGCAGTGCTGCTGAGTGACAGCTGTGGTGTGGGCCCGCGTCCATTTATCCGTTCATCCGTGGACGGGGCTGTGAACATTCGTCAGCAAGTGTTTGTGAAGACGTATTTTCATATGTTCTGTTGCTGTTAGATTTGCATCTTCCGGGGCTTCGAATACAAGGAGCCCTGGGCGGTGGTCTTGTGGACAGGGTCGAGGGCCCTGCAGTGCTGCTGAGTGACAGCTGTGGTGTGGGCCCGCGTCCATTTATCCGTTCATCCGTGGACGGGGCTGTGAACATTCGTCAGCAAGTGTTTGTGAAGACGTATTTTCATATGGTGTCTTTTAAAAAATGTATATTCTTATTGTTTCACAGAGGAAGGTAGAGGGAAAGAGAGATGAAAACATCAGTGATGCGCTGCCTCCTGCACGCCCCTCCCTGGGGAGGGGTCCACAGCCTGGGCCTGGGCCCTGAGCAGCGGGGCCTGTGGTGTCATTTTCCTCCAGGGCAGCTTTGGCTCCCTCTGTGCTGTTGCTGTCAGGTGGCTTCTGCAGGGCACAGCCAGGTCTGCGCAGCGCGGGGCTGCTGCAGTCAGTGTCGGGTCTCAGCACAGCAGCCAGGCCCCACCAGTGTCAGTGCTGAGAACAAGCCCTCAGTGTAAGACTATGAGAAGAAAAGTAATATTGGAGTGGAAAACTTCTAAGTATAACCCGGGAGGCATCAGTGGAGGGTTGGTCAGAAAAGAGGAATAAATTGGACCCAGTTAAAAAGAAAATTTCATACAACCCAAAGTTACCATAATCAAAGCTAAACCTCTACAAACTCGCCCTAGAGTGGGAGGCTGGCCCCAGGCTCCGCTGACCCACCTGCATCAGGCGGCTGGGGGGACAGGGGAATTTCTCCACCGAGAAGAGGACGCCTGCGCTGAGCTTCCTGTCCAGGGCCTCGCGGGGCCTGGGGCAGAGCCGGGCCTGAGCCCAGGTCGTGACGCACCCAGTCCCCTTGTAGGTTCCGTCAGACGCCAACCCCTGCCTAGTGCAAAGCGCTGCAGGTGCTCAGGCCGTGGCCACTGGGCCAGCCTCCCGCTGCTTTCCCAGAGGTGCCCCGAGGGGCTGTGGGCACCACTCTGATCCAGTGGGCAGGGCCGCCAGGGACCCCCAGGTGACCATCTGCTGCGCCACCTGCTCCCTGTGCCGGCGTCTCCCAGGCGCCGTGGCTGCTTCAGGGAAGGTGGTGGTCCGTCGGCTCACTGACAGCACAGGGAGGTGCTCCATGTACATCTACAGGGGAGGGTTTGGAGAGATGGTGATGGACGTGCGTTGTCAGAGGTCGGTGTGTCCGAGAGCCTGTCGCTGACCCTGCTTCCTCCCCTAGGTGAAGTCAGGCCCCCAGAGCGTGTGCAGCAGACCGACCTGGCTGCCACCCTGGCGGTGGGGCTCGGCCTGCCTATCCCACAGCACAGTGTGGGCCGCTTCCTGTTCCCCGTCGTGCAGGGCAGAGCCCTGCGGGAACAGCTGAGGCTCCTACACTTGAATGCAGTGCAGCTCAGCAGGCTGTTGCAAGTGCGCGTCCCGGGGTACAAGAGAGGTGAGTCACGGCCACCCTCCGTCAGGCTGGGGCCCCCGCGTGACCTGGCCCTCGCGGCGGCCTGGCTGTGCTTTCAGAGCTCGGCCATCACCGTGAGCAGCACCCAGAGGCCGTTGTCTCCGGCACGTGCTCCCATAGTGTGCTCAGTCAACAAGTGGTGACGCTTCCCACGCAGTTTCTGTTTGGAAGCAGGGCCAGGGCTGCCCTCATGGAGCGCAGCTTGAGAGGGAGAGCAGGAGTTGGCCATTGATGTCAGGTGGTGTGGGTGGTGAGGGCCTGGGAGGGAGCATGTGGCAGATTCGGTCCTGGGGGGGGGCGGGGGGACGTGCCTCACTTTGCAGGGATGAAGGGGCGGGAGTGGCTGGAGCAGAGGAAGGCACAGGACGGGAGGCCAGGGGCGTGGGGCCTCTGGGACCCTGGCTAGAGGAGGGGCTCTCGCTGTTGTCCTCAGTCGCCTGAGCTCTGCAGCCGGCCCTTGGGAGGCTCTGGGGCCAGGGAGGCTGGAGGAGAGCTGGGAGGAAGCTGCCCAGAGAGGACTCGCGATACGGAGCCGGTAGAAGACGCAGCCTATTGCTGAGAGGCAGGCAGGGCAGCCATGCGGGGGCGGGGCGGGGGGTGATTGTGGATGTGGTGGAGACAGCGGCAGGCACCCGTCCGCCCAGTCCTCACACAGTGTGAGCATGGGAAGGTTTCTGTAAAGTCGAGGGCCTGTTAACACGATGCATTTCTGGGTGGTTTTCCATCGCAGGAGCAGAGGGGAGGGAAGGAGAGAGGGAGCAGGGGAGGAGGAGAGGCAAGGCCAGGGTGGAGGCAGGGATGGGGCGGTCAGCTGGAAGGAGGTTGGAGGGTGCTGGCCCGTGACCAGCCCACACATGAAGGTTCCTGGGCGCCAGCTGTGAGGTTCTCCCACAGGCCGCGGAAGCACACTGGGAACCCAGTGCCTACGTCTGTGCTGCGCCCGCAACCTGTTCCTCTTCTTGTCAGAGCACGGATTCGAACAGTTTAAAATATCAGAAAGGCTGCACGGAAACTGGGTCAGACTGTACTTAGAGGAAAATAACGCAGAAATCCTTCTCAACATGGGAGCCAAGGCCCGCAAGCAGTACCTGTACACCCTGAAGGCCCTGAGCCAGGCCTTGAGCAGCCAGGAGGCCCAGTACGACATCTACTCGATGGTGGTGGGGACCGTCGTGGTTCTGGAGGTACGGTGCTCGCACGGAGCGAGGCTCACCTGTGGAGCTGGCTCGATACCCAGCCAGGATATTGCAGTGGAGTGTCTGTAGCACATCCGTGTTCCCAAAAGCAGGAAACTGGTTTTCCTGTTTGCTCACGTGTGCCCTTGTGCACAGTCCTGTCCAGGCGGGTGGCTGGAGGCGTGGTTTGGGCCTTTCCCTGCCGCCGTTGTGGACCAGCCCGTGCTTCCCGCCCAGGTCCTCGCCCTGCTCCTGCTCAGCGTCCCGCAGGCCCTGGGTGCCACGGCGAAGCTGGAGGTCCCCCTGTCGCCCGTGTGTTCTCTGCTCTTCTACGTGATGTTCCTGCTTCTCTGGGCCATGCACATGGTCGTGTGCACCTCGACTGAGAGCTCCTGCTACCTGTGCAGCCTCGCGTGGCCCATGGCGGGCGGGGTGCTGGCGCTGGTCTCCGCGCTGCTCTGTGGGGTCTTGTCCACTCTGACCAGGATGTGTTTGCGTGGAAAGCTTCTGAGGAGGGTAAGGCTGGCTCCCGCAGATGGGACACATCTCTTTGTGTAGGCTGCACTTGGTAGTTGAGTACCTTCCCCGCCCCCCCCGCCCCATGTGTGTGGCAGGTGCAGCGCTGGCCGGAGCCGGGGAGGGCAGCCTGTCCCCAGGCTCTGGGCCCACCTCACACTCTCAGCTCCGTGTTGACAGGTCCCAGGCCTCGCCTGTCAGGTGGGAAGACAGGGTCCTGGTGAAAGAGAGGGTGGGAGAGTGAGAGAGACAGAAACATCAGTGATGAGAAAGAATCATGGATCAGCTGCCTCCTGCATGCCCCACACTGGGGCCCGAGCCCATAACCCAGCCATGTGCCTGACCGGGACTCGAGCCGTGACTATTTATTGCTGTCAGAGGGGAGGGGTTTGGGGGAATACCACTGGATGAAAGAAGGTGAAGAGATTACCAAAAACATATACACATAACCCATAGACACACAACTGTGCAGTGATTGCCAGAGGGAAAGGTGAATGGAGGTGGGCAAGGAGGGGGGCATGGACGAGGAATGGGGACCAAAAGAGACTTTGCTTGGGGCAAGGTGTGTACAATGCTGTCTTCAGATGATGTTTTATTAAGTTGTACACTTGAAATATGTATGGTTTTGTGAACCAAAGTCACCCAATAAATTCAAATAAATAAGATAAAATAAATAAAAGATACTATTTAAAAATAGGCCTTACTTTCCAGTACGCATAGGAGCACCCAGTATAGCAACGTGGCAAGATCACAAATCTCAGTTATTTGGGACTTTGGTTCCCTTCAGAAAAAAGGATAAGTTCCACTAAGTGTCAATTCTATTTCAGATCCCTCTATTTCCCCAAGCACAGTACTTACTAGACATACTAGAGGCCCGATGCACGAAATCCGTGCAAGGGGCTTGGCCCCCCCGTCGCTGCCATGGCTGCCTCTGCTTCGGCCCCGTCCAGAAGGTCGTCTGAAAGGACTTCCAGTCTAATAAGCATATTACGCTTTTATTATTATAGGTAATTAGTATTTAATAAATCCTCAAATGCCAAAATGTTCTAAAATTGTTTAAGCCTAAGGACTGAAAATTAAAGACTGGACATCAAGGAGAACTTTCTTCAAGACCCAACTCTGCCATAAAAAGGCAGGGCTTTTATTACAAGGTTATTCTCTGTGGTATGACTGCTCTGAGTCACACTGTGGATGAGCCTACCATGTCCATGAACATGGGATGCTACAATGTCCAGTAGCTCCTTGGACTGAAGAAGACTGAATGCTGCTTGGATGGGTCTGTAAAAATCACTCTTCTTCTGCTAGACATTTTCTATAAGCTTTCAGTCCTTTTCCTGAATAATCAGAGTTAAATTACGTCTGGCAATAGGATCTGGGTCTATGACTTTGACCACTTCTAAGACACATGTCTTAAGAGCTTATTAAGAGCTATATTTTCCTCAATACAAATTTCTTTGAGCTAATTCAGGGGTGGGCAAACTTTTTGACTCGAGGGCCACAATGGGTTCTTAAACTGGACCGGAGGGCCGGAACAAAAGCATGGATGGAGTGTTTGTGTGAACTAATATAAATTCAAAGTAAACATCATTACATAAAAGGGTACAGTCTTTTTTTTTTTTAGTTTTATTCATTTCAAATGGGCTGGATCCGGCCCGCGGGCCGTAGTTTGCCCACGGCTGGGCTAGCCTATGTGGTTGGTTTTATGGCCGAATCACTGCAGCTGATGTTTGAGAACCTGTGAGGTTTCAGTGGTGATCACAGCGAGGAGCTGGCTCTGCCCTGGCCAGCTGCTCCCGGGAGGACAGGCTGTGACGGACGTGGTCAGAAGCCTCGACAGCTAGTGGCTGTGCGGGTGCTGCTTCAACACCTGGGAGAAGTGCAGCAGGTGAAACCCAGACTGGAAAGGGGGGCTCATGACAGTTAGAGGGGGCGGGGGGGCTCAGGACAGTCAGACATCAGTGTGAGGTGCGCTCAGGACAGTCGGACATCAGTGCGAGGGGCTCAGGACAGTCGGACGGGCGCTGTGAGGGGGGCTCAGGACAGTCGGACGGGCGCTGTGAGGGGCTCAGGACAGTCAGACGGGTGCTGTGAGGGGAGCTCAGGACAGTCAGACATCAGTGTGAGGGGCTCAGGACAGTCGGACAGGGTCTGTGAGGGGCTCAGGACATTCAGACATCAGTGTGAGGGGCTCAGGACAGTCAGACGGGTGCTGTGGGGGGGCTCAGGACAGTCAGACACCCTGCAGCAGGAAGCTTCAGCAGGAGAACAGGGAAATGCTTACTCCGACCAGCAGTTGGGAGTTTCAGGTAGAATAACAGGGCACAACTTTTATCTAACAAGGTAGGGAACAGAAGGGATAGGCGGCCTGGGTGAGGCCACGACCTGGCCCACACGACAGTCACTGGGGAAACAGTGTGGCCTGTGCCTCCAGCCCGAGTGTGGCTCCTTCCTTGACTGCGAACTCTATGGAGAATCTCCCATCCCAGCGTCAGCCACCGACAGCCCAGCGCCCCGGGCAGCGCTCCTGGGCTGCTGCTGCGAACCCCCTCCTCGCCCTCAGTGGCCTGGAGAGAGGAGCCGAGGCCGAGCCCACGGGCCCTGGGACCACACAGGGGCCCGCGCCTCCTGCTCAGGAAAGCGCGGCCGTGCTGGCGGGGGCTGTTCCTCCCCACACTGGACCGGGCCCTTCCCCTCGGCTGCTTCTGCGTCTGAGGCTGTCCCTGCCGGTTTGCAGAGGCGGCCCTGGGACCAGGACAGAGCTGCTTGGGGGCATCCAGGCTCGCCTTCTGGTGCTTTTTCAGTTGTGACTTTTACCACCAGGACAGGACATAAATGTCCAGTTTAAACAGCAACAATGAGTGGACCCCATGTGACCACCCCCAGAGCAAGACCCTGGCCACAGGCACCCTCTGCCTGTTTCCCAGGCGTGTTTCCTTCGTGTGTTTCATTTCGTGAGTGAACAGTGCTCCCCGGCTGCAGCAGTGGGCGTGGCCAGGCAGCAGGGTGCCCACCCACCCTGTAACCGCTGCCTGTGAGCCTCCCAACTTCTCTGGGGTCTCGGGCCCTGAATGGAGATCACACCAGGAGGTGCATGACTCCCCGGAGTGGGATGTACCCTGGGAAGCACGGGGTTTGCCCAGCAACTCCTCACCTGTGTAGGGAACGTGGCCGAGCGGTGGGTGGACCACTGTGGACAAGAAGCGGTAGGTCAGGGCAACAGCCCTTCGTTTGTACATTGTGAGAGCCTCAGTCTGCATTTCAATCACCAACCGTTTTCTTCCATGCTTTTCGGGAAAATCAGCTGTTCTTAGGACAGTTCTTAGAAAGCCACGCAGCAGAGCCCCAGCATCGCCAGCTACACTTGTGGGTAATTCCTGGCACTTCCCATTCCCTTTCAGCTCTGACCACCAAGCCGAACTCTCCGTCCTTGCTGCCCTTTCCCTCCTCGCCATCTTCGCGCTGGTTCAGAGCAGGTGCTCCTCGGTGGCCAAGGGGGCCCTGGCGCTTGGCCTGCTGGGTGTCTACTGCTACAGGGCAGCCACTGGCCACGTGCTGTCCCCATGGCAACAAGACAACAAGGACGTTTCCAGGTAATGTGCTGCTGCCTTTAGGACGTCGGTGAAGTGGTTTCACCGAGAGAGCCGAGGGCCTGGTTGAGCGCGGTCAGTGAGCTGGCCATGCCCTCTGTCCTGGTGGGAGACAGTTGCTCGCGGTGAGGTGTTTGAGGGTCATTTTTTTTAAATAGGGAATTTTTTTAAAAAACAAGGCATCTCAAGGATACAGTGTTGCTTGGTCAGGACGAAATGAGATAGAAGAGCGAGTGGGTGTTGCCTAGCAGTTGGGAAACGCGGCAGAAAACTAAACTCGCCCAGGTCTTGCAGGGAACCCCTGAGGAGCCTCGTGCTGCTGAGCCCCGAGTCACCTTGCAGGTCAGGGCAGCTGCTCTGTCTCCAGGAGACGGGGGGCAGTGTCCCAGGACTGTTGGAAACGTGCGGACCCTCCGACCCAGGTGTCCTCTCGAGCAGCGAGGAGGCCCGAGGCGGAGTGGGCGGGGGGTGGGGGGGCTCTGCTCTCCAAGGCACTAGCGTTGCACCGTGGGAGGCGGCAGGGCCAGCCGTGGGGGAGCTCTGAGCGAGCGAGGCTTGTTCTGGGCTCTCAGCCCCTCGGCGTCTGCTGAGTTGTGTGCTTTCACAGGACGTGTGAAGACGCAGCGCAGCAGGCTGTCCCTCTGTGTGTGGCCTGAGCTTGTGAAGTAGGAGCGTCGCTTTTCATGTTCATGTGAAAGACTCGCAGAGGGCACTGGCCCTCGGTGGGTAGGTGGCTGAGGGGCACGGGGTACCCCTGGAAATGGCCTGCCAACTGGTGTGGGGAGTCAGTGATGCCAGGGGCCTGGTGAGGGGACTGCACCCGACACAGGGAGGCCAGATGGGGACAGCGTGGTGTGCAGGCATCTCAGAGGAGGTGCACTTTGTCGTCTGAGATTGGGCACCTGCCGGAGATGGAAGTCACATTCCGGGTGTTTAATGCAGCTGTTGGTCTCAATCTCAGAGTCTGTGACGCACAAGCGGACCCTCCTTTCCTCTCTGGTTGACGCACCGATTTCAGCATCGCTCGCTTCAGAGCTTGGGGCAGTGTGATCCTCTCACGGACCCAGCGGCTTGTAGGCCGGAGCCCCCTTTGGTGATCTGTGCTGCTGGGGTCACGTGCTTCCTGCCAAGTGCCTCCTGCCCGGCCTCTCTGTCCCGGTCCTCGGCCCCTCCTGCTGCCAGAGCCGCTCAGCCCAGAGCTGTCCTGAGTCTAGAGCACTGGCAGCTGCTTCTCTCCGCTCGGCCCAGGTGCTGCTGCCTGTCCATCTCCTAGGACCGCCTTTCCGTTTAATGCCTGGCTCTCCTCACATGGCAGCCCATGCTCAGCGGGCAGGGGCGGCCAGGCCTCGGTGGTCGCCCGGCGTTCAGCCCTCCCTGCTACACTCTGGCCGCTCTCTGATCCTGAGGGTCTGTCGTTTGCTCAGCGTGGCTCCCGCCTGGGTGGGCTGCGCCTGACCACATCTCCGTGGCAGGCCTCGTGGACAGTGTTTCACTGTTTGAATTAAACTCATACTAAAAAGATAATTTTTAAAAAATGCGTAAACCTTCCTAAGAAAATCTGAAAGTTTATTTTTTCAAAAATATATATTGTTTTGATTATTTCATTTACATTTTTACTTAGCGTTACTGTATTTATTTGTTCTTACTTTGAGAGGATGTGTATTAAAGCTGGGACAGGTCACAGGAAGGGCTCAGGTGGGGCACTTGGCTTTACTTTAAATCATCACCTTTCTAGTGTAAAATATTTGCTTTATGAAGTTTTTTAAAATTTATTTATTGTCTAAAGTTTTACATATGCCTC